CAATTCAGCAGGTGTTTTAATAACAAATTGAGAAATGATTTCCATAGAAAATCTCGTGACAAAATTTATAATAAATTTAAAAATAAATGATCAACAAATGATCAACAAAATTGTTACTAGTTTTATAAAAAACGCCCAATAATATCTTTTTATTGTTTTAATATATTTGGGTTTTAATTCTGATAGTTTAGTTCATTTTTTTTATTTTACTTCTTCATTTCTGATATGTTTATAAAATTTGTATTCGCTAACTATTACTGTTCAATAAAAATAAAAATAAAAATAAAAATAAAAATAAAAATATATTTGGGTTTTAATGCAGGGCGGGCTTCAACTTACCAAGTTTCGGCTAGTGTATGGGAGGTAGTGGGTTAATTAAAGAAATGGTTTTTAGGTGTAGTTGGTTATATCTTTAATAGTTTCTTTTTTAATTGCCCCACCGTCGAAGTAGATTCTTCTGATAGTTTAGTTCATTTTTTTATTTTACTTTTTCATTTTTGATATGTTTATAAAATTTGTTTTCTCTAACTATTACTGTTTAATAAAAATAAAAATAAAAATATATTCTATACTCCCTTTTCAAAATTACTCCCTTTTTTTTTTTCTTCATTTTGCAATATGGCATGCTCAAAAGTATTATTAGGAAATTTACCCGAATTAACAGAAGATATTATTCAATATTTTCGAGATGACATTTCAACATTACATTCATGTATTTTAGTTAATAAATTTTGGTGTCAAATTACGATTCCATTATTATGGAAAGATCCATTTTCAATGAAAAATCCTAAAAATCTTCATTTTATTGAAATTTATTTACAAAAAATAAATGAGAAAGACAAAGAACAATTAAATAGATGTGGAATTAATAATAATGTATTTCCTTCAAAAACATTATTTAATTATTCCTATTTTATTAAATGTATAAATACAAGAAACATATATTCCATTATTAAAAAATGGATTAATGTTAACAAACGTTTACTTGTTCAAAAGGACGTATTTTTTATTTATTAATTAAAGTATTTATTGAAAATGAAGTTAAATTAAAAACTTTTGAAATTGAAATTTCTTATAATTACCTTATGAATAAAAGAAATTTTAATAAGATTTTTAGATTAATCTTACAAAATCCAAAATTCATTAGTAATATAAAAAATTTGAAACTTCATTTTGATAAAGAAATTGTAAAATATAAATTTGATTATAATTTTTTAAAATGTTTTTATCATCATTGTAATTTAATTTCATCACTTCATATTAGATTTTCAGAATATGAAAGTTTTAGAAATAACCATATTACAATTGAAAACCAATTATCACAAATTATTAATTCACAAAAAAATCTTGAAAAAATTATTTTTAAACTTGATAATTCTACAAGTACAAATAATAATATATCATTATATAACATCATAGGTGATTCTAATAGTCTCAAAACCTTTAAAGATAATTATATTTTATGGAATCGATTTTAGGAATATATTATATATAAAAAAGGCATTTGAACAATTAAATGTTTTAGAATCTATTCATATACTTGAGTGTCTTATTTTTAATTCTAATTTTATTCAACAAATCATTGATCTTAACAAATTTAAATTAACATCTTTATTTATAAGGGATGAAACTACGAGGGACAAAAATTTACAAATTGAATTAATGCAATTATTATTTCAAAAATTTGGGGAATATTTAGAAAATATTGGATTTGGCTCATATGTAGATGATGTACTAAAATATAGAGCATTAGAATTTATTAATAATTATTGTAAGAAAATTAAATTTTTTGATACATGCAGTATATCTAGTGTTAAGAAAGTTCATATTGCATTAGATTCAGTCGGACAAAACCTTAATTATTTTTCCATATATATTTTTTATAATCATGATGAAAATTATAAACTTACAATGGAAATGATTTTAAGATTAGCACATGTACTTCCTTGTAAGTTAGAATATTTGAATTTAAGTTTTACTGGTACTCCGATTAGAAAAAATATTTGGGAAGTATTTTTTAAAAGTTTAGGACATATTTTTATTAAGAAATTATTATTCAGAATTAATAATTTATTTGATCATATTTTACCATATATAAAAGAATATATTATGAAAGAAAAAAGGGTTGAATATTTAGCTATTGAAGCACATATAGAAATCCAAGTAGGAAGTGGCACATATAATATATATCGGCATAATAAAGAGTTGTTTACTATGACAGATGAATTGAAGGAATTTGAATCATATAATATTAAAGTTAGGGAATATAGTGATTTATGTATTAGAGCCTATGAATTTATAGATGAGATGTATTAGCAGGGATATATATAATGTATATTCATAAATGAATTTATATTTACTGTATATCTATTAATGGAATTTATTATAAGTAATATTATTCATTTTTTATAGTAAACTTAAAACAGAATAAAATAAATATTATTGGATTTTTAAAAAAACACTATTTTTATGTGATTATTTTTTTGCGCTTATAAAATAATCTAAATTTTCAACACTGTGACGACTAGAAATCTGAAAAAGAATGAATATCATAATTAAATAAACAACACAAAAAAAGAAATAGAAAATTGTAAAAGTGTATGATATAATTATTTTTTAAAAGAATAAATTACCAACAGATATCCTGATAGAGCAATCTTTATCCGAATAAAATTATCAAGTTTGCCATATTATCTGGATAAAAAAGCCTAGGAAATTCCACTTTCAATTCCTACCTGGAATTATAGTTTTATCAAAATTTTACTTATATAGTGATTTAAAACAAAATTAAATGGATATAAAATTATTCAGTCTTAATCGATTGTAGTTACACGCATTGTCACTAAGTTTTATAATGACTTATGCAATAATTTGCTATAATTAATGCTCATTAGTTAAAGCTGCGCATAATTATCTAAACACATTACACACTATTAATCAGAATGAATTGTATGAATTGTGCGACATCAGAATCATATATAATATACCCAGCTCGACATAATAATAAAATTGATACTTTCCTTCAATTACAACATGTCGTGTTCAAAAATATTTTTAGGAGATTTACCTGAATTAACTTATGAAATTATAAAATATTTTCAGAATGATTATTCAACTTTATATTCATGCATTTTAGTTAACAGATTATGGTGTCGTTTAGCAATTCCATTATTATGGGAAAATCCATTTTCAATTCGTACCGGAAACTATGATTTTATTGAAATTTACTTATATAATAATTTAAATAATGATTTAAAATTATATGAATATAAAACTATTAATAATTCATTATTACCTACGAATACACTGTTCAATTATCCTAGTTTTTTAAAATATTTGAATACATATAAGTTATACACTTCTGTTGATAAGTGGTTTTGTTCTGCTATTAGGAATTCAAAATTCGGAATTGGAACAGATCGATATGATCATGTTAAGAGATTAGTTCATATGTCACTATTTAAAATTTTTATTGAAAGTGAAGTAAATTTACATACTCTTGAAATTGAGGCCTTAAGTATTTATGACAAAGCAAGTTTTAATGAAATTCTTGAGTTAATATTGCAAAATCAAAATTTTATTCACAATATTGGAAACATGAAACTTTATACCAGATTTGTTGAAGACAATATATATAATAACCATGTATTACAAATGATTCATTTACATCAAAATCTTAAGAAAATTTTTATATATAGAAATTATTTATCTTTATATCAATCATTATTATTATCAAAAGATTATAATTGTTCAAATACCTTAAATACAATTATTTTCTATTACATCAATTTTAGAAAAATAATCAATCTTGATGAAATATTTGAACAATTAAATGTTTTAGAATCTGTTCATATTGTCTATTGTTATTCCTTGAATAATAGTTTTATTCAACAAATTAATAATTTAACCAAACCATTTAAATTAAAATCTTTAATTTTATGTGGGATACTACAAATTGAATCATTGCAACAATTATTACTAAAATCTGGTGATTATTTAGAAAATTTCGGCGGGAGTGGAATTTGTTATAATTATTGTGATTTATTACAATTAACAAAATATTGTAACAATATCAATTTACTTTATCTTAATGGACATGAAAGTGAGATTACTATTCTTCAAAAAATCAATTTAATTGAAAGTATTAAACAAAGTCTCAATTATCTTATAATCAATATATGTGAAGATTCAGCAATTTATAGTTCAATCATATTAGAAAATCTAGGACAAATTCTTCCTTCTAAATTGGATTATGTAAATTTGAGTTTCATCATTAAAGATAGTTATTTTAGAGTATTCTTAGAAAATTCTCAGTATATTTTTATTAATAAATTTTTAATAAAATTAAAAAGGGGTAGTGATGATATTTTACATTACATAAAGGAATATATTATGAAGGAAAAAAGAGTCAAGTATTTGGCTATTCAGGATAATAATAAGAGGGAATTGTTGTATTTGAAAGATGAAGTGAAGGAATTCGAGTTACATAATATTATAGTCCGAAGACATAGTGATTTAGTAATTGACTTTGATGACTTAATATGGAATATTGAAAAGAAAGATATTTGATTAATTATATTAAATATAGATGAATAATCATAAATAATATTTGTAAAATTTTTACAACTGATTGATTAAAGTTACTTTAAAACTTTGCTTTTCTAAAACAAATTATTTATTTATTTATTATAGTTATTTTTTTTGTTCATGATTAAAACTTAGAGATGAGTTACCGCAGCTTGATTTTTAAATAATTTTAATCTTACATAAATGACATAATTAAATAAAAATTAAAAATGTTTAATGTTTAATTCTATAAATTAAAATGTTTAAATAATTAAATTAGAATAAATAATAAATTTATTTTATAACTAGCTGTAGTTTGTTGCGTTGCAACAGTATTAAATGAGTTTAAGTCAATATAACAATAAATTTTTTGTTTTATATACATAAACTAATATTAACATGTTTTTTTTATTTTTAGGTAAAAAATATATACTTTATTCTAACTAAAAAAGATCATACAAAGCATATTTATTCAATAAAAAAATATTCTAAAAAAAATAAGGAAGATCTAAGCCTGCCTAAAGACGAAATAAATAATAACGATAATATAAATAAAAAATATAGTTTAGATTATTATAAAGAGAAAGATCCGGTCAAAAAAAAAAGGATCAAAAAAAAAAAATATTAAAAAAAAAAATGATCCGGTTTAAAAAAAAGAGACAGAAAAAAAAGATACAGTTTAAGAAAAGAGAGAAAAAAGATTTTAAAATCAACGCGATCTGCTGCGGTTGATCATCCTGAATGGCCGAAAATGAAACATGATTGGTAAAGTGTTACATACTTGGGAATGTATTAATTGCTACTGACGTGATAAAATCTAACCATTCACCCATTAACTATATAGGACAAACTTTTTGTTATAGCCAAATTAAGCAAATTTCTCATTATTGCTTTATTAGATTTATCAAAATTTCTTCAGAAATGTAAGATGACACAACAATTATTAAACTTATGAACTAGTATTTCTATTGCTTGTGCAATTAAATTCTTTTACGAATAACGTCTACTAACGCTACTAACCAATTATAATAAATAAAACCTGCTGTTAAAAAGAACTAAATTCCAGTTTAATTATGATAAAATTTTTATTTTTTTAATTAAAATTCATCTAAGGATTTTGTACAAGAATAAATTTGCTTTTTTCATCATGCTGGTATTTTTTTATTAAGCTATAAATAAACTACCATTGCATAATTATTATTGATATTTTTGACGTTGTTTAATCAATAGTTTATTGTATTTATAAGATGATCATTGGCGGCTGTAGAATAAATAACTAATATGTAAATTCCCCGATAAATAGCTTTATAATAAATCAGACTGCATACTTATTAAATAATCAGACACTTGGCAAAATTTCGATGCTGAGACATTTTCAGTGACTTAATACATTTTTTTTCTTGATTGTCCAAAAATATAAAATTATTCTCTCCGTGAAATATTATTTATATTGTTATGATATAGTCTATCAATTCATTATATCCTTTTTCATTGCAATTGTGTGATAAACATCATATGTATTTTCTTTGGCACATTTAACAAATATTAAGAAAAGAAGTATTTTGATATTTTTCTACCTTTATTAAATTTTGGTGCATTTTTTTTACCTTTATAATAAAAGTGCATTTTTTATTATACTTTCATTTACATTTTAGTGATAAAATAAAAGATTATTTTTTATTTAATTTATGTTAATATTAAGTTAATAAAAATACATTTATTTTATTTTATTAAAATAAAAAATAATGGTTAACTTTGACGGGTATTGGATAATCTGTTAAAATTGTCCTGCTGATCCAAATTTTTTTTTTTAGCAAAAATTATTTTTTTATGTATGGCAAGCCGAGCTGGACTAAACTATCAGGCATTGGACGGGTGAAAAATCAAGCATGGATTGACAAAATGTTACACCATGCCTGACATTTTACCTGTTCATGCTTGATTTTCATCTGTCCCGTGCTTGATATTTATCTGTATGTGCTTGATATTTTTATCTGTTCATGCTTGATGTTTATCTATCACGTGCTTGATATTTTTATCTGTTCATGCTTGATGTTTATCTGTACGTGCTTGATGTTTTACCTGTACGTGCTTGATGTTTTATCTGTATGTGTTTGATGTTTATCTGTACGTGCTTGATAATTATCTGTACGTGCTTGATGGTTTTATCTGTACGTGCTTGATGGTTTTATCCGACCATGCTTGTCATTTTTATCCGTCCGTGCTTTATTTTTTTATCCGTCTGTGCTTGATATTTTTGTCCGTATGTGCTTGATGTTTTTGTCCAACTGTGTTTGATTTAATCCAACTATACTCGATAATTTTATCTTTATCAAAAATTAGTTTCTTTGTCAGCACAGGGTTGATATTTTGTCGGTCACATGTTTTTAAGTTTAGCGTAGTTTTAAAAAAAAATTTTTTTTTTTTTATTGGCTTTTTTTTATAAACAAATTTTGTAGGGAATTTTTATTTTTAATATAGGCAAAGGCTTTGTTCGGTAGAATTTCTTTGGGAATTTTTTAATAAGATTTTTTTTGATAAAAAATTTCGTTAGAAATTTTTTTTCACATTTCTGAGTTTTTTTTTTGATGATTATTTCGTTAAAAACTTTTATTTGATAGAAATTTTATTGGAGAATTTTTTTTTAATAAGATTTTTTTTTTTTGACATATACTTAATTTGTTGGAACAATTTTTTTTAACAGGAGAGATTTTTTTTTTTGATAGAGAATTAATTG